TGATCATGGTGAGGACACGTCCATGCCGGAGGATGCCGGAACTAGCGATGAGGAGATTCGACAGATCATTCATGAGGAGGTGGCTGCGGTCATCAGAGCTGAGTTACCAGAGATGTTCGGTCTATTAAGACCGCGTTGATTGAGACATTTGACGAGCGCTATGCCGCTCTTTCTGAGGCTGCGTTGCAGCGGCTACCGCAGCGATTGCTGCGGCAAGACCCCAGGGAGGTGATGCGACATTGTTTAGGGAGTTCAGCAACACCAAGCCACCAGAGTTTGATGGTACGCAGGATCCGGTGGCAGCTATGAGGTGGATATCTGATATGGAGGGATGCTTCTTCACTTGCTCGTCCCCTGAGCATTTGAAGGTTCGGTTCGCGCTGAACCAGCTTCGCTTGGGAGCGAAGGACTGGTGGAAGTTTGTGACGGCACACTTCACACCGACTGAGCTTTCGGCAGTGACCTGGGAGAGGTTCACTACCATGTTCCGAGATGAGTACGTTCCTCAGGTGGAGAGGGAACGTCTGACACAGGAGTTTCTGACCCTCAAGCAGGGTACCGAGTCAGTACAGCGATTACGAGGATGTTTCATGAGAGGGCGATGTTCTGCCCTGAGCACGTGTCCACCGAAGGCACGTATGAGCCGTTACCTGAGCATTCTGAGACGGGATATTCGGGAGTTCGCTGCGAACTCCTCGTATCGGACATTTGCCGAGCTTCAGGCAAATGCTCGGAAGAGGGAGATTGAGCTTGAGACTCAGGCCAGGGAGGAGGCGGAGTCTCTGGGGAGGGATCGGCGGCCGGCACAGTCCCAGCCGGCAGCCAAGCGGGCCAAGCCCGCTGATCCCGACCCGGGAGCCAGAAGGGCCGCACTTGTGGAAAGTGCGGCAAGGGTCACGATGGAGTCTGTCGAGCGGGTCTTGCTACAAATGTGGCAAGGAGGGGCATATGGCCAAGGACTGCCCCAAGGGGTTTACAGTGTGCTTCCACTGTAACCAGACCGGACACCGGAAGGCAGAGTGTCCGCTGCTGCGCGGAGCATCTCAGGGGTCTGCTCCCGCCGCCATCAGAGCTACTGCTACAGAGAGTCGGCCCGTGAAGGCCGAGGCACCGAGGGCTCGGGGAGAGCCTTTCAGCTGACTGCGGAAGAGGTCCGCGCTGCACCCGACGTTGTGGCTGGTACGCTTTCTTTTTATTATTTATTTATGGTGTCGAGATATTATGCTTATATTATGCTATGCATAGGTACCTTCCTTGTGAATTCTGTACCTGCTTTAGTGTTATTTGACTCGGGTGCGAGTCGATCTTTTGTATCTTTGACATTTAGTCAGCATATCAGTGTTAGTCGTGGGGCACTGAGTCGGCCCCTGCGGGTTTCCATAGCCGCCGACAGAGTGATTTGTGCCACGGAGGTCCTCCGGGGATGTGTATTGGAGATTTTTGGGGTTGAGTTCCCGATCGACCTGATTCCTATTGCGATGGGTGATGTCTGTGTTATAGTGGGCATGGACTGGTTGAGCCGATTCGGTTGAGCCGATTCGGCGCGGTTATCGATTGCGAGCGTCAGCTGGTGACTATACGAGATCCTAGTGGGGGAGTTCTTTCGGTTTACGGCGAGGGTACACGTTCTGGATCAGCCTTTTGTTCGGCTGCTAGGGCGAGGCAGTGTTTACAGCAGGGCTGTAAGGGTTTTGTGGCGTATGTGATGGATACGCGAGTGATCTCCGAGAGACCGAGTTCGGTGGATGAAGTTCCGGTGGTGCGTGAGTTTCCAGATGTCTTTCCCGAAGAATTACCAGGTGTGCCTCCCGTGAGGCAAGTGGAGTTTGGTATCGATTTGGTTCCGGGAGCCGCGCCTATCGCTAAGGTGCCGTATCGCCTTGCGCCTCCAGAAATGCAAGAGTTATCCTCGCAACTTCAGGAGTTGCTGGGGAAGGGGTTTATTCGGCCGAGTAGCTCGCCGTGGGGAGCACCCATCCTGTTTGTGAAGAAGAAAGATGGCTCGCATCGCATGTGTATTGATTATCGGGAACTGAATAAGTTGACGGTCAAGAACCGTTACCCGTTGCCGAGGATCGACGATTTATTCGATCAGTTACAGGGAGCATCTTGGTTCTCCAAGATTGATTTGAGGTCGGGCTATCATCAGGTGAGAGTACGGGACGAGGACGTCCAGAAGACAGCATTCAGGACGCGTTATGGCATTATGAGTTTGTGGTGATGCCTTTTGGGCTCACCAATGCCCCGGCTGTGTTCATGGACCTCATGAACAGGGTATGTCGGCCGATGTTGGATCGGTCGGTGATTGTGTTCATTGATGATATTCTGGTATATTCGAGATCTAGAGAGCAGCACGAGGAGCATTTGAGGGAGGTTCTTGGAGTTTTGAGATCGGAGAAACTTTATGCAAAGTTTTCCAAGTGCGATTTTTGGTTGCGGGAGGTCCAGTTTCTGGGACATCTCGTTAACCAGAAGGGGATATTGGTCGATCCGGCCAAGGTTGACGCAGTGATGAGGTGGGAGGTGCCAAGGTCACCTTCTGAGATCCGGAGTTTCCTTGGGTTGGCAGGGTATTATCGGAGGTTTATTAAGGATTTCTCCAAGATTGCGGTTCCACTCACCAGATTGACCCGGAAGGGTGTTACATTTCTATGGGGTCCCGAGCAGCAGACCTCCTTTGAGACGCTTCGCCAGAGGTTGTGTGAAGCTCCGGTATTAGCTCTTCCGGAAGGGATGGAGGGTTTTGTGGTATTCTGTGATGCATCGATTTTAGGACTGGGAGCGGTACTGATGCAGAAGGGACATGTGATAGCATATGCATCGAGGCAGTTGAAGCCTCACGAGACGAGGTACCCCACACATGATCTGGAGTTGGGGCAGTGGTGTTCGCCCTCAAGATTTGGCGGCACTACTTGTATGGGGTTCGTTGTACGATTTACACGGACCATAAGAGCTTGAAGTACTGATGGATCAGCCTAACCTAAACATGCGGCAAAGAAGGTGGTTAGATGTGGTCAAGGATTATGATTGCGAGATTTTGTACCACCGGGCAAGGCTAATGTGGTAGCCGACGCATTGAGTCGCAGGGCGGAGAGTGCTCCACTGCGAAATGTATGTTTGCGACTGACTGTGATAGCTCCAGTTCTGGACGCCATTCGTGGGGCACAGGCCGAGGCTGTGCGTCCGGAGATGCAGAAGAGAGAGCGGGTCGTTGGGTTGGTTTCGGAGTTCGTATCGGATAGTCGAGGCCTTATGACTTATCAGGGCCGGATCTGGGTACCGTTTGTAGGCGGTACACGTACTACATTGATGGAGGAGGCTCATAGATCGAAATTTTCGATCCATCCCGGGGCTACAAAGATGTATTTGGACCTAAGGAAGGAGTATTGGTGGCCTTGTATGAAGAGGGATGTCGCATGGTTTGTCGAGAGGTGTTTGACCTGTCGAAGGGTAAAGGCCGAACACCAGAGACCGCATGGCAAGTTGCAGCCATTGGAGGTTCCCGAATGGAAGTGGGAACAGATCACTATGGATTTCATCACCAAATTGCCGAGGACTGCCAGAGGAGTCGATGCAATTTGGGTGATTGTGGATAGGTTGACGAAGAGCGCTCACTTCCTTGCCATCAGTGAGAGTTCTTCGGCGGAGAAGTTGGCGGAGATTTATGTGAGGGAGGTTGTATCTCGGCATGGGGTGCCGATCTCGATCGTTTCAGACCGCGATGTGCGTTTCACCTCCCGCTTCTGGAAGAAATTTCATGAGGAGTTGGGTACTAAGCTGCATTTTAGTACCGCATACCACCCCCAGACCGACGGCCAGAGTGAGCGGACGATTCAGACACTTGAGGACATGCTTCGGGCATGTGTATTGGACTTTGGGGGTAGTTGGGATACGTATTTGCCTTTGGCGGAGTTTTCCTACAATAACAGCCATCATTCGAGCATCGGTATGCCGCCCTTTGAGCTGTTGTATGGTAGGAGGTGTCGGACTCCCATATGTTGGGGAGAGGTTGGGCAAAGGGTAATGGGCAGTACGGAGATCGTGAATCAGACGACAGAGCAGATACAGCTGGTCAGACAGAGGTTATTGACCGCTCAGAGCCGACAAAAGAGTTACGCGGATAGACGCCGGTCCGAGCTGGAATTTCAGGTCGGCGACTTTGTTCTCCTGAAGGTCTCTCCTTGGAAAGGAGTGATCCGGTTCAGGAAGAGGGGCAAATTGGGGCCCCGGTTTATAGGTCCGTTTCGTGTGATCGAAAGGGTAGGACGGGTAGCCTATCGGCTGGAGTTACCAGCAGAGTTGGGGCAGATTCACAACACTTTTCATGTATCGCAGTTGAGGAAATGTAT